TCTAGATTTTTTGGCCCGTTAATGGGTTTATGAAGAAACAGAACCCTAAGCTACAACTACAGGCACATGCAGTACAAGACCATAGAAAACAGGGGTCAACTCAAAACCCATAACCAGAAGATAGCTCAAAAACGAAAGCAAAATTAAAGCCCGCCCTTTCTTCCAGTGATTTATACCTTATATTGTATATTTTTATTTATTTAATAATATGTTATTATAATTATAATTTACAATCTTAACTAAACATTACATATAACCATGACGTCGCCGGTTAACATCAATGATCTATTAGTCTGAATACATAAATTCACTTTCCTCTAAGTAAATTTGTGAGTATAAATTTTTTTAATAAAGAGATAAATACGAAAAGAATTGTCTTATATGTTAATGGCAATGGAGTTGATATATGGGGCCAACATTTGATGTATTGGTTCTTCTTCAATCATCTGCAGATTTTGGATTGACGCTCAGCTGGAAGGAGTCAGGAGTCGGGACCAGTATAGTTGAGGAAAAGGAAAAGCAATTTGGTTGAGCTCATTTATTCAACATTGCAGCGAGCGAGACCTATTTGTTGTCTCCTAGCTTGCATTCTCCACACCACTTGGTCTTAATTGGGTGGCCAAGCATAACTCTAAACAGCTAGCTAATTAAATGGTTGTCATCTGTTTTCTCCGTGGATTTCCTGGACCAGACGCCGATGAAAACGTAACATCTTTCTTAAAGCAGAATTTATACATTTTTGTGGAATATTGTGACAATGACTGGACGGCCGGACGTCGACGCCTTTTCTCTGGTTTCCCCTTTTTTTTTCTAAAGCAAAAGAAATATGGGTTGTATCTTGCCTCTGTGTGTTTTAAATATTAGAGATTGAGATGGTAGGTTTGGGGCTTAGAATTAATAAACGCTAATATGTACAAGATTTAGAAAATGAATTAAAGGAAGGGATGGGAAAGAAGGAAGCTGGGCCACCAGTTACAATACTTGCAGAGCTGAAAAGGTTTTGACATGGAACTTTCAATTTCGGGTCCCATGCTTTCAATGATCGAATCTCTGGGGATCTTTCATTTTTTTTTATTTTTCACAAGAATCCTGGATCCAATCACATCTACCATTCTGCAAGGAATCTTTTACAATTCAGTAATTGGCATTCAGAATTTCAGTCCTTAAGAAACTATATGACACGTATCCCAACACTTAAAAGTAAAATTGCCTTTGAGATACACTTTATTTTATTATTATGAATTGTTTTAAAATTATATTAAAATAATATTTACAATGTCCTCTGTTACCATTACTTGTATTGAAAAAGAGCATTGCAACTAAGGGATATTTTTTGCAGTGCAAACTTTAATAATAGTAATGGACAGGATATTTATATTATTTTTTTTTTTTGACTAGGTAGATGGTTAGGAAGTTAGTAGAGTTAGTTTGTTAGCAGCTGAAATTTTTTCAGGAAAGTGAATCTTCCATCCCCTCATTTGAGGCGTGCGAGCATTAGGTCGCAAGTTGGTGGAGTTCACGGCGGTAACAGAGCTCGAAACCCTGAACTCCGCTTCACCCAAACCCTAAAACTTGGGAGCCAACCAATTGAGCTACAGGTCCGATTGGCTATATTATTTATTTATTTAATATTATATAATTATATTAAATTATTATAAAATTTGATACAATAAAAATTATATTTGAATGAGCTTTGTATTATATCTGAAAGAAAAGTACTTATGTCAGGCATCCAGCCGTGCTGGCGTTCTTATCCCACTCAGGAACTTTATTTCTTGGGAAAGCGAATATGATTCCCAATACAATAAATGTTTCTGTTTTTTTCTCTCTTTTTGTTTTTTCCTTTTTTGGGAGGAATATATAGGCGAAGGAGAAGAAAGACAGTACCCTAGACTGAGTAAATGGACTTCAAGACTCGGGACTTGTGGGGATGTCGGCAGAGGAAAGAGGACTACAAAAGCCAAGGGTTGGGGATAAGGGTGAGATATCGAGATATACAGGCGTAGAGGTCCTTTTCGTTCTCCTCTAGTTCTCTCCACGTAACAAATTACACGAGGGTATAATTTATTTCACACAATGTTAAAGAGAGATTAATGTGTTTAATTAATATTCAACTGTAAAACCTTAATTTATAGTATGTGTGAGTTTAGGGGAATGAAGAAGGGGGGAGTGGAGAGAAAAGGGGAGATTTTTTTTAATTAATTAAATTATAAATTTTTTTATTTAACCTGAACATACAGTTAAAAATGAAATTTTTATTTTTATTTTAGTTATATAATATGAGACAATTATTTTTTATTTTTTATTTTTTATTCTTTATTTCATTTCGTTCACATATTATGTGACTCAAACTCATAATATTTTATTTTTGATAAAAAAATAATTATTGAATTATTTAAATCGTTAACGTTAAAAATGAAAATTAGAAGTTCACATGTATTGTTTTTTTTTTTTTTTTGACAAGAACAATAATTAGTAGATTAGTTTTATTAGTTGTTAGTAACTGAAAATTCGATTCGCAGATCTAATAAATATCTCACCTCCTTTAATGAAGCATGCGATTCATCGGGTGCTTGGCGGAGTTCAGTTCACATGCATTGTTACTCGTTCCTTTTATGATTGGAATAGGAAAAAGGCCATAAGCCAAAGGAAAAAGGAAAAAAAAAAATTCACTTTAATGTTATTTCATGACACAGTTTACCTATACATTTTCAGAATCCTAAGTATTCACTGTTTTGGCATCTTTTTCATTATGAGATATGTTTGGTGTGGTATCTTTTACTAATAGAAAAAATATCACCTCAAAAATCTGCCCATAATTTAAATTTAGACATAATACTTTAACTAGATACTTCTACCACGGTTTCTCTCCCCCAGCATAAGTTTCACACTTCAGCATAAAATACAGAGATTTTTAATTAGTGCAACAAACGTTTAATTAACTGAAAAATTAACTTGTAGCAAGGATATTGAATAGGAAAATGCTAGGGGGGCCGAACCCCTAGTAAGCCGATGGAGGCCGGCCTTTGTGACACTGCACCAATAGATTTTTTCTTTGTTTCCAAGTTAAATTTATTATTTAATCCTTATTTTTAATAATTCAAACTCATTTTTGTCCTCTTTATCTTTTTTTAAAGTTAAAATTAATTTAAACTCATGTTATTAGAGTTTAAAATTTTTAGAATTCTGTATTTAGAATATTAGGGTTTAGATTTTTTAATGTTTAGTGTTTAGATTATTTTAGGGTTTTGTGTTTAAGGTATTAGGATTTAAATTTTTTAAGTTTAATATTTTAGAATTTTAGGATTTAGACTTCTTAAGATTTAATATTTAATGTATTTAGATTTAAATTTTTGAAATTTAAAATTTAATATTTAAAAGATTTAAGTGTTTAATAATTTAAATAATTAAAAATTAAAAATTACAAGATTTAAAAATAAAACAAAAAAATCAAATTTAAAAAGTAAAAATAGAAAAGTAATAGGGACCGATCGGCCCTATAGCATTAGTCTATCGAATACTATCTGTACTTCTGTAGTCATCATTGAACACAGTATAATTTTTCCATTTTGTTTCACAAAATTAATAGTAGTTCTCAAGGTTGACATGCAACCATGCAATTCGAGCATGGGCCATATGGCACTTGTCATTGTAGAAAGTGCAACTGACATTAGTTACAGATCTTTTCATCTGCCCAAGGCCCTGCAGGACCCTCTTGCATACTCATTTCAAGAAAATTTTGTCCCTCCATGTTTATAGTCACAGAACTTTCGCATTCAATAATTCATTAGTAATTCCTTTTGGTTTGAAAGTTTGATGTTCTGACTTCCAAGTCACGCAGCATGTAATTCACTTATGAGATACTTTTGGAGTTGAAATATGTATCCTATAACGCTTCTGTAGAATACAAAAAGATGTTGTGTCTTAAATCTGGATCTCAATCCTGAGCAGCACGGCAGAGATGGGGCATACGGTACTTGGCGTTTTCTGCCATGCCATGCCATGCCATGCCTTTGTCATTGACTCACCCAGCTAATTGGTTTAAGCTTTTCAACTAGCTAATTCTAGCGGGCTTCAGCCTGACGGCCCCCACCCACATTACCAAAAAGAAAAAAGAAGAAGAAGAAAAACGCTTCTAGTTCCAGTAATTACATCCCCAGGTCATAAACTCACCCCGTGGAACGCGCTGATTTTTCTCCATTATTTGGTGGCCCAGTTGAGAGTACCTGGCCTAAAAGCTGGAAAATTGACGTTTTACCAACCAAACCAAGCTGAACACGTAGCACTCGTTATAATCACTAGCTGATTTAAAAATATGTATGGGTTAATTTCTTAGAGTTTTAGTTTTTTTATATTATTTATATTTTATAAATTTAATTATTTT